TATATACATATATATATATATTATACATATATATACATATATATATATAATATATATATATATATATATAGAATATTATATATATATATATATATATTATATATATATATAATATATATATATATATCAATACATATACAATCCATCTACATATGACATATACATATACCTATACTATATATATACTAATATACTATTTATATACTATACATATACATATACAGTACAGATACCATATATATATACATATATATATACATATATTATAACATATATATATACATATACATATATATTACATATACAATATATATAGATATATACATATACTATATTATATATGATTTATATTTATATATATACGATATATTACATATACATATATATATATAATATAATTTATATATTTCTAATTTATAATATATATTATATATATATACAATATATATATATATATTTAAATCTGTTTATATTATATATATATATTACAATATAGATATTATATATATATAATATACATATATATACATATACATATACCTATACATATACATATATATTTAAATATATATATCATATACATATATATACATATACATATAATATATAATAATATATACAATATACATATATATACCTATCTATACACTTAAGATATATATATATGTTTATATCTATTTATATTTATATCATATATATATATCATATATACTTTATATATATATATATTATATATAATATATAGACATATATATATTATATATTATATATATAGTACATAACATATACATATACCTCATATATATACATATATATATACAATACATATACCTATATTATATATATATATACATATATACATATATATACATGTAACATATATTATACTATAATACATATACTATATATATAAATATATATATATTAATATATATATATTATATGCTATTATATTTATATATATATATATACATATCTACTATCTATATTAATATATATATATTATATATATATATATATATATAGATATATATATATATATATATATATTTTTTATACTTTTAGTATTATATATATACATATTATATATACATATATTATTTCTATATATACATATATATAATACATATATATATATATATATACATATATATATTATATATATATATACCAATATATACATATACATATTTATATATTATATATATATATATGTAATATATATAGTTATATCTACTTTTGATTATATCTAATATATATCTCTCTCACAAAACGCTTATTATTATGTAAAAAGTGAGTAGATTCGTCTCTCTCTCTCTCCCCCTCGCTCTCCTCTCTCTCTCCTCTCTCTCTCTTCTCTCCTCTTCTCTCTCTGTCTCTGTCTCTCTCTGTCTCTCTCTCTCTCCTCTCTCTTGTCTCTCTCTCTCTCTCTCTGTCTCCTCTTCTCGTCTCCTCTCGCCCCTCTCTCTCTGTTCTCTTGCTCTCTGTCTCTCTCGTCCCTCTCCTCGCTCACCTCCCCCCTCCTCCTCTCTCTCTCTTCTCTCTCTCTCTTCTCTCTCCCTCTCTCTCTCTCTCTCCCTCTCCTCTCTCTGATCTCTCTTCTCTCTCTCTCTCTCCCTCCCCTCGCTCTCCTCTCTCTCTCTCTCTCTCTCGCCTCTCTCTCTCTCTCTGTCTCTGTCTCTCTGTCTCTCTCTCTGTCCCGTCTCTCTCTGTCTCTCTGTCTCTCTCTCTCTCTTCTGTCTCGTCTCTGTCGCTCTCTCTGTCTCTCTCTCTGTCTCTGTCTCTGTCTCTGTCTCTCGCTCTCCTCTCTCTCTCCTCTGTCTCTCTCTCTCTCTCTCCTCTCTCTCTCCTCTCCGTCCTCTGTCTCTCTCTCTCCTCTCTCCCTCTCCCTCGCTCTCCCCTCTCTCTCTCTCTCTTTCTCCTGTCTCTTCTCTCCTCTGTCTCTGTCTCTCTCCTCTCTGTCTCTGTCTCTGTCTCTCTGTCTGTCTCTCTCTCTCTCTCTCCCT